AAAGCAAACTTTATTATTTGCATATGTTTAATATCTTTTAAATATATCGTACCTAGAGGAAATCTGGAGAGGGACTTATTACAAGGGCCTGCAGGGACAGGACAAGGGGGAATGGCTTTAACCTGACAGAGGGGAGATTGAGGTGAGGCATTAGGAAGAAGTTCTTCCCTGTGAGGTTGGTGAGGCCCTGGCACAGAGTGCCCAGAGGAGCTGTGGCTGCCCCATCCCTGGCAGTGTTCAAGGCCACATTGGAGAGGGCTTGGAGCAACCTGGTCTAGTGGAAGGTGTCCCTGTCCATGTCAGGGAGTTAGGACTGGAAGAGCTTAAAAGTTCCTTTCCACCCTGAAACCACTGTATGATTCTGTGATACCATAGTATGTTATGGCATTTGGCATTAAAAGGCAGTGTATGAAGTGAAACAGTGTGATATAAAAAAGCAAGCATCCAATGCCTTTATTCTGCCATAATAGAAAGTGCAAATAATGTATGTAATAAAATTCAGAATATAGCTTGTAACTATTAAAAATAAACAGTTTATACGAAGGTGTGAGGAATAATACTGTGAATACCATTTATTCAACAAATATAATATACATTGCAATTTCAGCATGAAGTAATGCTCACTGAAAATTACTAACGTGCTGTCATTTTGCTGATTCCTGAAAGATACTTCATTATTCTGTCATCGTGTAAAGGCCATAAAAAGTAAGTGTATTTCAAATATAATGCCATATTATGGAAATCAGGTTTGGTTTCCAAATTGCCTATTCCTTTAAAAAGGCAAAATGTGTCAACTATTTTGTGAGTAACTCCTCTGTTCCCAGTCCAACATCAAACCAACTGCTTAATTCCAATGAAGAAGCTGGGTTTTATTGAGCAAAATATTCAGTGATATGCTGAGCTGTGAGTGTGTACACGTTTCTTGAGATGTGAGAGGTTTGTACCTGCTTAGAGTGAATGAGGACACAAATGTGCTTCATTTCCTGTGATGAATTTAGGGCCATTGCAAGGATCTCACAGCTGGGAAACTTTTATCTAATCCAACTTCTTCATAACTTAGATCATGCACCTGAGAAAAGAGGGACCTTCATTAATCCTTGGCTCAATAGAGGTTACACATATCGCAAACACAATGGAGAAAGTAGTCGGCTCCCCCAGGTTACACAGCTTGGTGAGTCAAAGGGGAAGAGGAAACTTTCAGCTGATCTCCACAGGCTGCTTTTGGTGAATGGCTGATGCCTCCCCAGCCACAGACTGCTCACCATTCCTTTCCCATGCTGGTCTGCATAGCACCACATTTAGCTACAGTCCAGATGTTTCCCCTTCCTCCTTTGGACTATTTATTCATTAACTTGCTTGGAAAAGTTGGAACACAAATGCGAAACTGAGAGAATTAAGTCAAGAAACCAATGGGGTAATATTGTTTGCTGCTGTCTTCAGTATTGACTGAAAGTCTTGTCTCTTGCTCGTTGTCAATGGTTATATGGCAGGCCATTGTACAGTACTTGTGCTTCCATCTCATGGCCTAGTTCTGTGGTCTAGCTGTTTGCAGGCATGATGTGAAGAATGTTTTTTGCCTCTTCTTACATTTAAAAAAAATAATAAAAAAGGAAAGCTAATGTTAGCACACAATTTTTCAAAACTTTTTAATGGATTTGTATTTGAAGACTTTCCGAAACCTCCTTAAAATTTACAATGAATGAATGAGTTTATCAAAGAAGGCCAAAATCTCATCTCAGTATTATAAATGTATATCATGTTACAAGTATTTTCTTATAATTACGTGTAACAAAAATCTTTTTCAGTGCAATTCTGCATAAGCAAAAAGTGTAAACCTCAAAATGTCTCTTTTAGCCTTCTTATAGCTATAGTATATTATCTTTTGTCAACAGTCGCATTGCTGAAGGACGTTTTACTGGTGGATTTATCAACTCTGTCTTGCATTTTGGAATGCTCACATTTGAACCTTACTTATTCCTGGAGCCACCAAAGGGTCCTTTTGCAAAGCTGGCTTCTGCACAGGGACAGCTTCTTATCCTTTGCGTGCAGTCGGTCTCAGATACGCCAATTGCACAGGGGTGCTAGGACAGGGAGAGAAAGCAGCATGTCTGCTATTGTGACAAGTGTGTAGAGCTCACTGTTCCAGTCTCCTTTCATAATAGCAATGAAAAAATTCTGTTCTTAAATGGCCAGTTACCATTCTATTCATGAATTGGGCCAGATTGATTTTGGGAATGTGTGGGAATGCTTTTCGCTGCAAGTATTTTTAGTAAGGGTGTTTTGCTTTGTTTTAATAGGATGTAACTGTTCCCTACCCCTGAAGTATCTTTTTCTATCACTTAGTCTTACCTGTAGCGCAAGAACAAAGCATCTATTGTAAATCTTTAACATTTTAAACAAATTAGATGTCATTGGCAGAATGTTACAGTAATTATGACAATGAAAGGTGACCGCTTATGACATCAACGATCCCATTGATATCAGAGCATTAAAATGGCCTGCGACCTGCAAATGTTTTAACACCTGTAGGAGCTGAATGAGCTGTAGGCTTGTCTAAGACTGAGGCAATGCTGCCGCCTAATGATGGGAGTATATGAACTGCAGTATAGCAAGGACTTGCTTGGCAAGCAGCCTGCGTTTGTGACTTCATCTGAAGTCCATAAACGAAATTAAAAGCAAATTGGCCCATAGACTAGACTGTGTGATGTTGTGATGTGCCAGGGAATTTATATGGTTCAAACTTAAACGCAAAAGAAACCCTGTAATTAAGTCTGCAAAGTTTGTTTTCTGCACCATAATGCCTGCTATGAATATAAAGAGAATTATTCTCTAGGTTTTCTGTATATTGATAGGTATTTTTCTTTGTTTCATGTATTTCCTAATACTCATTTTGGTCATTCCTGAAAGATACTTCGTTATTCTGTCATCATATATTGGCCATAAAAGTAAGTGTATTTTGAATATAATGCCATATTATGGAAATCAGGTTTGGTTTCCAAATTGGCTATTCCTTTAAAAGGGCAAAATGTGTCAACTATTTTGTGAGTAACTCCTCTGTTCCCAGTCCAACATCAAACCAATTGCTTAATTCCAATGAAGAAGCTGGGTTTTATTGAGCAAAATATTCAGTGATATGCTGAGCTGTGAGTGTGTGCACGTTTCTTGAGATGTGAGAGGTTTGTACCTGCTTAGAGTGAATGAGGACACAAATGTGCTTCATTTCCTGTGATGAATTTAGGGCCATTGCAAGGATCTCACAGCTGGGAAACTTTTATCTAATCCAACTTCTTCATAACTTAGAGAAAAGAGGGACCTTCATTAATCCTTGGCTCAATAGAGGTTACACATATCGCAAACACAATGGAGAAGGTAGTCGGCTTCCCCAGGTTACACAGCTTGGTGAGTCAAAGGGAAGATCATGAGGGGCAGAAGTGAGGGGAGCTCATGAAGGGAATTCATGAGGGGAGTTTGTGAGGGGCAGACATGAGGGTGAGTTCATGAGGGGAGCTGGTGAGGGGCAGACGTGAGGGGAGTTCGTGAGGGGCAGGCATGGTGGGAGCTCGTGAGGGGAGTTTGTGAGGGGCAGGCGTGGCGGGAGCTCATGAGGGGAGCTCATGAGGGGAGTTCATGAGGGAAGCACGTGAGGGGCAGGGGTGAGGGGGAGCTCGTGAGGGGAGCTCATGAGGGGAGTTCATGAGGGAAGCACGTGAGGGGCAGGGGTGAGGGGATCTTGTGAGGGGCGAGGGTGAGGGGGGTTCATGAGTGGGGTTTATGAGGTGTAGACATGAGGGGAGAGGACGGATGGCCATGAGCGGTGAGGGGAGATCATGAGAGGAGAGCTGGGGCAGCCATGAGCTATGGCAAGTGGCCATGAGGGGAAATGAGGTGTGGCTGTGAGGGGTAGGGATGGCAGCTATACAGACTAGGCCATTATGCAGGGTATGTGAGGGATGGCTTTGAGTGGAGACCATGAAGGACAGTCATGAGGGGAGATGAGGGATGACTGACTGGAGATCATGAGGGGCAGCAAGGAGAGGAGATCAGTTTGCCCTTAGTGACATGGTTTAATGGTGGGCTTGGCAGTCCTGGGGTAACGGTTGGAATAAGTGATCTTAGAGGTCTTTTCCAGCCTAGTTGATTCTATGATTCTATATAATTGTAATATCTATCTTACAATACTTATTGTCTGCAGTATCCAGCAACAGTTCCCCCCCCCCCCCCCCCCCCCATTTTTTTTTTCATGAGGAATTGCATGGATGTCTTTTATCTATGCATCACTGGCCTTCTTTATTTAGAACAGTTCTATGTAGTCTGTGGCTGAGAAGAATATTGTTAATAGTGTTACTGTCAAGTTAATTTATAGACCAGTAAAGAGCAATAACACTTCTGTGAGGCATCTGCCAATGTAATCTGGGACAGCTTGTACACCCAGCAGATCAAAGCTGGATCCAGCCGTGTGCTACCTGCTCCTTTTTCAGTTCTACTGGTAGATCTTTTTGTTTGTGCGCTATCCTGAAACATAGGAAAGCATAGGAGTTGTTCTTATTTCCTCCTGGTTTATCTATATTACCTCTTTAACAGGAAATATTATTGAAAAGATATGCAAAGTTCAAGGATGGTTATTGATCTGTGCCAGTTTGCTCTAAAGAAGGATTTCATAGCAAATGGGTCAACCCTTGGAACAATTATAACTTGGCAAAAAATAATACACTGTAGTTAAGGCATTGTAAAGGCACTGATTCATTAGCAGGCAGCCCATTAAATCATTATAATTATGTGGAGAAATGATAAAGGCAACAGAGTTAATGCCTTTGGAGCATGTGCTGAAAATGCACCTTAGAAAAAAATACACACTCATATTTCTCTTGTATGGTTTCAAGTATCTTTGGTGTCATACTGCTCTCAGCTGGGCTGCCTTCCAGCAATCAGCATCTTCACAATGTGTTCGCTTCAAAGCCTGTGTTTGAGGTCTAAATCTCCCCTCTGTTTCAACCCAACAGGTGCAGGAGGTTGGTCTCCATCAGACAGTGATCATTATCAATGGCTGCAGGTGGATTTTGGGAACAGGAAGCAGATCAGTGCTGTTGCAACTCAAGGCAGGTACAGCAGTTCTGACTGGGTCACTCAATATCGGATGCTCTATAGTGATACAGGAAGAAACTGGAAACCATACCACCAAGATGGAAATATCTGGGTAAGTGAAATGGAAGCTTATGTTGTTTTGATGCTGATTGACTGTGATTTTAGGAGCTCTGCACTCATACAACTTTGCAGTGTTGTTTTTGTGAGGACAGAACAGTGATTTGCTCAAACCAGTGACTCAAGTTGCAGCTGCTTTCAGGAGGCCTGAACCCAGATTAGCAAAGCCCATTTGTGTTGATGGCAATTGTTGGAACAAGCAGATATCTTTTTTGTTGGTGGTATTCCTCAGTGAGTGTCTTATGGCTTTCTTTTCCCTGCCTTTTTGTCCTATTAGTTTAATAGAGTAGATGTGAGACAGAGATGTGGTTCTGAAAATTGTCCTCTTAAGCGCAACATTTTGGAAGATAGTTTGTTCTTTGTGTGTACATGTGCTAGGGAGCAGTTTTACCATGTACATATTGCTTTCCATATAGGTGCCAGAGAAATGTGCTCTTTTTGGCTGGAGTAGAGTTGATTTTCTTCACAGTAGCTAGTTTAGGGCTGTGTTTTGGATTTGTGCTGAAAGCAGTGTTGATAACATGGAGATGATTTCAGTTATTGCTAAGCAGTGCTTACAGAGTCAAGGCCTTTTCTGCTTCTCACCCCAACCCACCACCTGGGGGGGCGGGGTGTGTGTGCACAAAGAGTTGGGGGGGACACAGCTGGGAAAACTGACCCCAACACTGTATGGTGTCATGCTCAGTATAGGGCTGAGGAAAGGAACATTTGGGGATGGGGAGCATCTGGAATGTTGTTTGGCTTCCCAAGTAGCCATTATGTGTGAAGGAGCCCTGCTCACCTGCTTGACCATTGGAAGTGGTGAATGAATTCCTTGGTTTGCTTTGCTTGTGTGAGCAGCTTTTGCTTTACCTTTAAACTGTCTTTATCTTGACCCATGACTTTCACTCTGATTCTCCAATCCCACCACGGGGGGAGTGAGTGAGCAGCTGTGTGGGGCTGAACTTCCAGCTGGGGTTAAGCCACGACAAAGGATATTTATGCTATAATAATTTTAGAATTAAACTTAATTTGAGGGGGTTTGTAACATTTTTTCATGGATAAGCTGATAATTTCATTCTTGCTGAAAACAGTAGCCTTCCATTTTGCTGACAAAAATAGATATTATTAGATAACATACCTATCCTTATAGCAGTTGTTTTAGATAGTTATTTTTTTTCAAAAGTAAACTTTGAAAACAGCAACATGCTACAATTCTTTCTGAAACCAAATCAAATTGGTTAGCAGTTAAGCATCATCAGGAGCAATATTGTCAAAACAGACAACGTTGAGTTATTCTAGATTCACATTTTTGCCAGTTGCTTCTTTTATTAAGGTCTCTTATTCAAAATGAATGTCAAATACAGAGTATAAGGTGAATGGTTTTATCTGTACAAAAGAAACTTGCTTAATATGTGGAGTACATAGAGGCAGTCATTTTTTTATTACATTATTGATTTATTGAAAAAGCTTCCTCAATGTGCCAAATAGGATTCTGGAAGAGGGAGAAATCAATGCCAGGGGGACAGACAGGAGTGAAGACAAAAACATTGGTGCTGCTTTAGATTCCTTTGGACTTGGTCGTATGAATGTTGCTCATTGGGGAGGGGGAGGAAGCCTATGCTTAAGCTTGATAAATATTATCTTTTAAGGTACCTTATGTATATAAGGATACTTGGATTCTTTGTGCTTGAATTATCTTAGATGCAGAAAAGCCTCAACAACTATTACTGAAATAATGAATACTTTGTCTCAGGGGAGTGGGAGAGCTGGCTGGGTGAAAAATAGCAGGACAGTTAGGCTGAGGAAAACTCTGTTCTTAATACCTTGAAGGGGCAAATCTTTTGGGAACGTGGGATTTGGTTAAGTTACATCAGTGACTATTTGTTTTCAAAGCGGCCCCATCTATCTGAGGGCTTTGTAGAGAATCTTCATTATCATCTCTTGATATAGAAATATTGAAAACTTCTTCATGGAAGAACATTTCGTGGGATTTTTTATTAGCAGTTATGTGTTTGGTGAATTCAGGTCAAATGTTACTCTGCTGTTGACAACAGATGCCACTTGGAGAAAACGTGTGAGGAGTTACACAGAAGTTTGCTGCTTCTATATGGAATGATGTATTCTTGTATACTTAGCAAATTGGTTGCTGAAGTACTGCTGTTGTTAATGTCCTGAAATTTTTTATCCATACTAGGAAAACAATTTAAGAAACCTACCCTATTCCAGCTTGCTTTTAAGAATAAAGTTGAGCTACTAGCTAAAAAAGAGGCTAGGGTGCTTGACTCCTGAGTTGCCTAAGCCAGCATTGTTTCTGTTGTTTGATTTAGTGGTTGGCTTGGCAGTCCCGGAGTCATGTTTAGACTTGAGGATCTTAAAGGTCTTTTCCAGCCTCGTTTATTCTGTGAGTCTATGTCTCAGCCTTTGTTTAATCTTGAAAACATTGTGCTTATTAGCTATTAATAAGTCTTAAACCTAGTAAGTTCCCAAGACAGGGGAGGCACCTGAGCATGTGTAGTAGTGTTACGAGGAGACAGACTTCCCTGATGAGGACATGGGGTGGTGCAGAATTTCCCATCACATCTTCCTCTTAGGGTCACTTTGTACAAGATATTGAAAGCAGCAGAAGCTGTGAGGGTCAGGTCAGACCACATGAGCCAAGTATCTACCCAGCATTGTCAATTTAAAGTCATGAAGTCAAAATCTTCTTGACTGAAATAACTGTGATAATCTTAAGTATCTCACATGATTCTGGTGCCCTTAGAAAACCTTTTGGGAAGTATTTAGTCTTTTCCTTTGGAGTCATAGCTTTTAGAAGTTTGATCCTCAAGAGAAATATGCTATGTAGCTTTTGGTTAGTGTGCCTCTTCCATCATCCCCGTGCCTGACTGTCATTGTTTACTGACAATAGTGAATTTAAAAATAAAGGAGAAAGCAAAGAAAAAGAGAAAAACAGAAGTGCAGAGTTCAACAGTATGTAATACTAGAGCAGTTATGATATCAAATGATACAGACAGAGGATGAGATATGGGAAAAAGAGCTAAATAAAAATAAAGCTTGCTAGATGAGACAGAGAGAGCACAAAGGAGAAGTAATTTCCAACAAAGATCTAGTTAGGAATAAACCATGATGAACTGCATAAAATGCTGAAGTGACCCCTTTCTGTATGCATTAGTCAGGGAGGAAAAAGAAGTTCTATAATTACCTCCTAAGTAGGAGAGAAATCAAAAGGCTCTCAGGAAGTCTGTGATGGAGAAAGTGCTTTCAAGGTGAACATAGAGTAAGCTTCCCAGTTCTGTGAAATAGATTTTCAGACCCCACCTCTCCCAGGCTTTTGGATATTTTCAGTTTCCATGAATTTTAATAAGATGAATGAATGCGGGCTCTTTCCGTAAAATGCCTAGCAACTAGAGAATTTTGATCACCTCTCCTATCTTTGCTTTTGTAGTCTGAGATTCTAATTTTAATAGGTCACAAGGTCCCCCTTTAGACAGCAATCCACTGGGGTGTTTCATGTACACAGTATATCTTTGTTTTGGGATAGGTGCTCATTTTGGTTTCTACATCAACACCATCTATCTGTATGCCTAACGGATACATACCAGACGTGATCGTACATATAATAGTGCTTCTGTTTCCTAACTCAGATACAGATCATGCAAATATCTGTAAGCTCTATGGGTATAAGAAAATGCTGACATCTTATGAAAACATTGAAACTCAAATAACAAAAATTAGTGATAGAGGCTGAGCACCTCTAATATTCAAGTCTTCCCTAAAGGACAGTGGAAGATCTTTGGTACAATTTAAGAGGCATTACAAGATATCATCTTCTACAATTTGGTAACTTTAGTGGAACCTGTGATCAGCTCTCATCCATCTCACTGGCTCGCATCTTGGGGATATCAAAGTCAGGTTAATGAAGGAGAAAGTGTGACTGTAATTGAGTTTCAAAAAAACCCAAACAACCAAACTGATGGCAAAGGAGTGCAGACCCTTTCCCATAACCTCCAGATTGCATTCTGTAGTTGACTCTTATCTCCAGACCCAGTGAACCTCCGTGGAGGTGCAGAGATGTAAATAAAAGCAGATTTTGCCTTTATACCGAAAATTTAACCCTGGGCCAAGTGGCTGCTGTTTCAGGTGAAAGCAATTATGTTTTCTGGTTTTGTTGTTTTTCTTTCAGTTTTAATAAAACTAAAAATGTATTATACATAACATTGCTTTTGCAATATTTTTCTTGCTGAAAAGATATTAACGTATTACATTCACTATGAAGAGTTGTTTTTGGAAAGGAAATTCATTCACCTGTTGGATTTAATTTTTTTTTTAATACTGTTCCTTCTGTTCTTTTTTATTTTATGTGAAATTATCAGAAATCCACCAAGTCAACTCTAAAATGGACTTTGCATTTCTTTGGGCACTGAGGAGCAACTTACTGTTTGAGAAATGCAGTCTCTTCATTTACATGGTTCCCCTTGGTATTGAAAGAAGCAAGTTAGCACAGCACAGCGGATTTAGCTTGCATAGGAAAATGAGTTTGCAGCATTTCAGAGTATTTTGACATAGTATTGAGCCAAAATTCATCTTGAAAGCAAGCACAAGTGAGTTGGATGATTAACTTTTTCAAGCTGTGTGAGATTTCAGATGGTTAATACTCTTGGGTGCCTTTGGAAATATCAACCATCAGACAGACCTGAAGTAACATTTAACGTCTGGGTAGATACAAGGCAATCATCTGCAGCTCTACCTAGCTGAAATTCTGTGGGAGCCATCTGCTCAGTGTTTCTGTTAGTCCTGACGTGCTAATTCTGGTTAGGTTATTCAGAGAACAATCTGCAAACCTTATCACATTGACTATTCCTTCCACCTGCTCTACAGAGCATCATTTATAGCTAACCAAGGACTCGCTGCATACATCTTAGACTACAATGATTTGTGCATGGAAGCTGCACGAATAAATTGTAGCATACACCCTCTCTGTTAGGACATACAAGAATTATTTGCTTTGTAAAA